GGCATGCATGCACGCCCACAGTGGGTTTAATGCACAGTGCGGTTGCCTTTGTCTGTCACCAGAGTCAGAGTCTACTGGAAGGTGTGAAGGACAGCAGTGATCAGCCTCACCTGCAGTGGAGGACCGTGAACAGCCAGGAGCTCTGTTCCCTGAAATACTGAACCACAAATGCTAGCGGTGAACTCTGTGGATTTTATTCTTAAATTTTAATTTTATTAGCACAGGTGTTTTGCCTGCACGTATGTCTCTGCATCATTTGTGTCCCAAGTGAGTGCTGTGGGTCCCCTGGAACCAGAGTTACAGAGTTGTGAGCTGCCAGGTAGATGCTGGGAATCAAACCTGGGTCCTCTGCTGAAGCATCTCCAGCTCCAAGGGCTCTGAAAATTTTACTTGAGAAAGAAAACAGAAAGGAAGGAAAGAAGGAAGGGAGGGAGAGAGGGAGAGAAGGAGGGAGGGAGGCAGGCACGCACACACGCATGCATGCATACACACACACACACACACACACACACACACACACGCACGCACGCACGCACGCACGCACATATGCACCACTCCCTTCAGAGGAACTGAAAACAGTTAAGACATGGCTGCAGTCCCAGCACCAAGGAAGGCTGAGGCAGGAGAATCACTGGGACCTGATGAACTTCACAGAGAGTCATTTTGCTAGAATTTTACAGGGAGTGAGAAAACATGCCTTACTTCTAACGGTCAGAAACACATCTCACCCCTTCCTGCACGGGTGAGGAGGTGCCACCAATGCCTGCATCCCACAACCTAGCTTGCTCTGCTCCTTCCCAGAGCAGCCCATTGCAGCTCTTCAGGGAGCAACTGAAGGGAGGTCACTTTATGCCCTCTGAATTCGGTCGCCCATCACACACTGGATGGGTGTGTACTTTCAAATCCGAAATAAGGCGTATGATCGTTATGCTGTACCACGTGTGTTCCACCAGGCCCCTAAGAGCCTGTGCAGAGGCTTCTTTTCTCTTCCAGAGTGAAGTTTGTTTTTTTGTTTTTTGTTTTTTTAAAGCATCCCTCACATAGCATCCAGCTTCCAATTCCACTGAACAATGGGAAGCCTGCCTGGTATAGCTCACGTGTGTTTTTCTAAAGTCCATATTACAATTTTTAAAAAGACTTCTCCACGCCCCAAAGAAAAAGATGAGAAGTTTATAAAATTATCACTTTCTAGCAATCCTCCAGTGTCTCGCTGTTCAGTGAGGCACTGTAATTTGTTTTTAATCATTTCACCTTCCCATTTAAAAAAAAACAACAGGGAAACCAACACTCCAGAGCGGAAGCTGCCCGAGGTGGCAAGGTGACGCTCTAAGGTAACACTGAAATTCTCCACGTTTACACGGTACCCTAACGAGTCAATGCCAAGTTCCAGATACAGTGAGAGCGAGCGACCGTGCCAAGCGCTACACTGGCCAACCAGCCTGCCCCTGCGAGGCATGGCGGGAGTGCTAGCTGGCAGGCCACTGCCCCAACAGCTTTGCACATGGGGCTGCTGAAAGATCGAACGGAGGCGGAGGCACACACACACACACACACACACACACACACACACACACACGAGGCAACAGAGGCGGGGCTGAGCACAAGCGGCCCGGGCACCAGCGATGCCTGGGGTTTAGTCAACAGAGAGAGCTAATACGAGTCAACAGCGGGTGCCGCTGCCAAGCACACCAACCAGTGGCATCTGCAGCCACATTCATAGAAGGAAAGTGCCTGGCTCCCTCAGACCAGACCACACCGGACGGCTGCTGCACGGCTGGACGAACAGGAGGGAGGTGCCCTCCATGGCAGGCAGAGCCAGGTTTCTAAGAAGAAATGGCTCAGGGAGGCCCTCTGAGTGTCGCCTGGAGGCTGGGCTTGTACCCCAAGCCCACTCTGGACGGCATGTTATAGGTGGGGTTTTTGTTGTTGTTGTTGTTATTTGTTTTGGTTTTTGTATTTTATTTTCCGGAGCTGAGGACCGAACCCAGGGCCTTGCGCTTGCTAGGCAAGTGCTCTACCGCTGAGCTAAATCCCCAAAGACCTTCTTGTTAATGTTTTATCCACAACTGAGAACATACTGACTATCTACAGGAAGGGTTCAGAACAACCATTATGCCAGCAGATTCAACCAACCAGACCAACCCAACTCCAAGTCTGTTGGAGTGGACTCACCAGGAAAATGACTGTGGTATCTTCCTTTATTAACTAAGACAACTGGACCATGGCTTTGCCAAGTGACAGTGGATTTAAGATCCTATCATTCCAAGCGTCAAAAACTTCAGGAAGTCCTTCTGAGCCCACACCCCACACACCCCATTTCAACCTTCTGGAGCATCCCACTAGGGGGTGTTTCTCCTATTAGCATCACTCAGAACACAAAACCATCTTTCCAAATGTGTCTTCCAAGAGCCTCCAGGCCATACTTCACTGACCTTTGTGTTCACAACAAGTAGTTTTGCCCATTCGAGACACCCCATAAATGATGAGTAACTGCACTGAGGTGCCACAGCCTGGTCATATTGAGGGTGTTACTGTGTCTGAGGCCATTTGAGAACACACGTGTCTGTCCTGAGAGGGGCTAATAAAGAGATTTATGACAGCACATCACCACTTTTGTATGGTGAGCAAAGGAATTCTTGAAGCTAAAGCCACCGGAGGGTTTTAATTACAAAGGAGTCTTAGTCAGACTGGCCAGGTCCCCAGCCGGGTCTCTATGGAAGTGATCCAATACAGAAGGAAGCTTAGGGGTATCAGGTCAAAGGTAAATCCTGTCTGTGGGACAAGCAGCCAGGCAAGGCCAGAGCCCAGGAAGTAGTAAAAATGCAGAAACAGCAGAGCAAGCCCAAGTGGGGTCAGATGCCTAGAAGGAGGCACAGAGAGGGAATCTGGGAAAGTGGGTCTAAGGAGCAGCACAAACACTAAAAATCCACAAGGGAGCCGGCTGCCTGGCGCTAAACCTCCGAACTGGGAGAATTAATTACAGGAACTTACACTCAGCTCTGGGAAGATTGGTGGAGGAGACTGAGTGATGCAATTCTAATATCTAATAAATCTTTAAATCAATGAGCCACGTTTACTGGTAATTCTCCTTCATCTTTCCTCCCTGAAAGCTCACACAGCGCCAGCATTTGCTTTTCATCTGCCTATGGACCCGGTGCATGGTTTTCACGTCTGTATGTATAAATAAAACCCGGAGCTCACTAAACCACACATCTTTTAAAAACGCATCAAAAATAGCTGCCATCAAAAGGAAACCCGGGATGGAGGGATTCTTCTGTGCCCTTTTATAAAAAGGGAAGGAACCTTTTGGGACGCCGGTGTTCCCATCCCCCACGGCCCCACCAGCTGCGGTGAGCCAGCATCCCAACCTGTTCATTTGTGTACCTGTTTGGATCTATTTTGCACACAGGCACTTTACCCCGTGTGCAATTTTTCATCTCAGAAACACCACTTAAGCCTGTCGCACAAACCTGACAGTCGCAATACATTTTATAAGCCAATTATCCCTGGGGACCAGACAAGAAAACCACCCGGCAAGGAGCACCGGCAAAGTTCCCAAGGATAGCATTCCTGTGCCAGATGCAAACTGCGCCACATCCTCTCCCAGCCCAAGCTGCCCACTCACCTCGCCTCTGCTCCCCGATCTCAGGCTGCCTCTCCCCAGCTGCATCAGAGCTGGAGAGCCTCATTCTTGGGCAGCAGTGGCAAGAACGCTTTGGAAAAGACAACAGCTCTGGGCTGGGGAATGTTGGCACCTTTTCTATGAAAAGGCCCCGCAAGGATATTTTTATGACAAAATGCTCTCCTACGGAGCACAAGAACCACAAAATTAAACTACCATAAATTGAAACTGTCTCCAAATTAAACCCACACGAAGAAGCATTAGAGCCCAGGCCAGGTAGGCTGATTTTTCCCATCTGAAACCCTTACAGGTTAAAGAGTTCTCTCTTTAAATCTAAAAAATTCCTGCCACCCAGGAAGGCCTAAACGCTCCGGACAATCTGTAACTCATCTAAGGCTCAATTACTGCGGTGTCTTCTGTCATGCCTAAGATTCCCGAAGGCACTGTCTGCCGCAGCCGAGTGCACAGTGGGCGCCCCGTTAGTACATCGGTTTGATTGGATCTGACTGGCCCCTCTGGCCAGAAAGACTCTTTTGGTGGCTGGACTCCCTGCCGGAGATACTGGCGCTGGCCTAGCTTGCCACTGGAACTGGGCCCCGGTGCAACCACCTGTGGGTGTGTGGCCGGGACACAGGCCCCGGCGCTGCCACCCCGGGATGTCCTGCACGTCCCACGCACGTTGCCGGGTGTGGGAGTGAGTTGGGAGGCCAATCCAGAGGGGGCCGGGGCCAACTCCCAGCACCCCAAGGCCTCTGCCGGTTCAAAGTTGACCTGGCCTGAGAGTTGTCTCCCAAGTCGCTCCACCCCCTGCGAGGTTGTGAGGCAGGGGGCTCTTTGGGGATAGGAGTGGAGGCCATCCGGTCAGGGATCGGCAGGGGACAGAGAGGCAAAACTGTTCCCTAACCCTCTTTCCAAACTTGGGGCACCTGCTGGGCAGCAGGCAAAGATTTCTTTTCCAGTGTCTCATTAAGGCCTGACACCAAAAGCGAGATACCCCGAGCAGCCCTGCATCGCTTAAAAAAAATTCTACTTAACCCAGCCAGCATCGGAGGCCAATATTGGCAGGGAATGCCAGCCACCTGCGCCAAGGGGAGGGGACGCGGGACGTGGGGACAGTGTGCAATGGGGTCGGGGTGAGGCCCAAAAACCTAGGTGGGCGCCAAAGAAGACGCAACCCTGCGGTGCAAGGTGCCAAACACTGGGCCCCACAACATCCGCGGGCTTGGTGGTCCGGGAGGGTTCAGACCCGGGAGTACCGACAGAAGATGGGGGAGGGGTCCCCCAAGAGCGGCCCGGGAAGCTTCCCAGAGGGAAACACTGGGACAGGGGGCTCTGCCCCAAGGGGCGCAGGCTACCAGTGCCCCGCCGCGTCACTCACCGGCAGGTCCACGCTCACTTCGGTTCCGTCGAGCAGGAAGACACGGCAGTAGAGGGTGGCCTTGGCCGCTCCAGAGGCGGAGATGTGCACAGCCGCGCCGCCCGTGAGCAGGGGCCCGCCGCCGGCCGGGAACACGCTGCCCCCGGGCGCGGCGGGCAGCACCGAG